ACTCCATTTCCCTGGTCTCTGTCACACCACTTTCCTCCTTCCAAGAGAAGTGAATTCTGATTGGGAGGTTTTCAAAGTTTATGTAATTTTAGGGATTCTTTTTAAGAAAAAGAATGTGAGAGTTCAAAAATAAAATTATATAGAGCTTTGGAAAGGTCCCTGAAGCTTAAGCTTCATTAGGCCTCATGGTAAATCTACCACTGTCTTCAAGTGAAAACACACAAGATTGAATGTACTGAATTATCTCAACTATCTCCCAATCCACATACCATGTTTAGAATACCAGGTCTCTCAAAAATCCCACAACCTCTATAAATTTTTTCTATTGAACTGCAAAATAGTAATATTTCTTTAATTTCACTTTTTCTGAAATTTAATTCCATATTTTCCTTCACTTTCACCCTATCCCAATTGTTTTTAAGGCAACTTTTAAAAATCACATACAGTCATTGCATCCCATGATGCACAATTAGGTGACAAGTTGGTTTTGCATATGAAAATAAATTAATTTAGTTATTATTTAAACGACTAAATTTGAGGCAGATGCCTTTTTCTAGTGTCTCAAAGCTTTAGGGAAAATACTTTTTCTAAATATTCAACTTAATATGGCTGTTCTGTTAGAGAAAAAGGTAAGATATTAACTATTAAAGATGACAGATGGTAGATATTGAAGCTACTAAAAACAAAACCAAGAAAGGTACACTCACAGACCCAAAACGTAACTCAAAGCCTTAGCAAGGCTGAAGCTGTTTTTCTTTAGCATTATGAATCTATTTGCAAATGACAATAGCCAGCTCCAAAGAGGCAATCTTATACATCAAAATTTCACTAAAGTATGTGGCTTTTTCCTTCAGTGTCATGTTACTAATGAAATTTTTATTTTCCAGAAATACTGGAGGTAGTAATTAGAAGGTGTATTATTTTTGGCCAACCATAATGGATACAACCACAGCCAAAGGTTAATTGCTATGCTGCAAACACAGCAGCAATTAGCTTTTAGAGCAGGGAGCGACAGATAATGCATTTCAAGTGAAAGTTTTTAAATAGAGGCTACCCTCTGTGTTGTGTTCCCAGACTCCCCTAAATTAAGTCAGTAAGTCATAAAATTCACACATGTCACTTGGAAGAACTAGAGTTGTGGATAAAGCTTTCAAGGGCTAGGCAAAGAAGCGTTTGGGAGAGAACTTCGGAGGGAAGAGGCCCATGCAGCCCAGGGTCCTCTCTTTCCCTCTGTTCTTTTCCATGCCTCTGCTCAGCTCCACTTCCTCCAGCTGTTAGCTCCCCAAGCCACTGAGGCCTGGCCATCAGGTGAGTGGTCACAAGCAGGTCTACCCACATATGTGTGCGGACTTCAGGCAAGAGCGTGAAGGGGGACACCATACCTGATGTCTACTTAGTTAAAAGGCCTAAATCAAGCTAATGAACTGTTACACAAAATGTGTTCCATCCTCCTATCTTTATCCTAAGATAAAATGTTTTCATGTATGAAACTATATTCTAGCGAGGTTGGGCAAACTATCAAAGATGAATAAATTAATTATTGTTATATTGTCACGTAGCTTGTGGATAAGCTTGAGATGTTTGAATAAACAATAAAATAAAAACTTACACAACTTAAAAAGTATATATTTACTCTATAAAAATTTTTCTTCTGTTTTAGGAAACTCATTTAATAATGTTGTTACAATCAAGATTTTAATATAATCAGTGTTCTATTAACAATAATGCCAAATTTTAACTTGGGGAAACTTTGTTCTGTTAAGACAGTAGCAACTGGAGTTGTCAAACAAACTCTTAAAGCAACATTTATTTTAGAAAATGAAGAATTGGAGCTTATGGTCTGATTTGTAAGGAACATTGAAGCCATCATTCCATCCTAACAAGTAAAAAGCTGAACAAACTGAAAAGCAAAAATTTTTAGATCTGTCAGAGATTTAAGCTGCAATTTGCTGCTCCCCAAATTGAAGACGTAGAAAAACTCCTGGAACTAATGTGATTATAACAAGCCTGCAGAATACAAGGTTAACGTAAAAGTCAATCACATTCCTATATACCAGTAATGAACAAGTGGAATTTGAAATTAAAAACATAATATGTGGAGGGATAGAGTGAAAAAAGGAGAAAACTCATGCACCACAGTACGGTGATCGCCTGGGAGAGGAGAGGGGGGAGGTAGGGGAGGATATAGGGGAGGTAAATGGTGATGGATGGAGGAAAAAAACATAATTCCAGTTGGGGAAAAACACAAAGAAACACACCCACGGTACCATTAACGTGAATACCCTCCAAAATGAAATACTTAGGTATACATCTGGCAAAATATATATAAGATCTACATGAGGAAAACTACAAAACTCTGTGTGAAAAAAATCAAAGAAGAACTAAATAAATGGTGAGATGTTCAATTTTTGTGGATAGGAAGACTCAGTATTGCTAAAATGTCAGTGCTTCCCAACTTGATGTATAAATTCAATGCAATCCCAAATCCCAGCAAGTTATTTTGTGGATATCAACAAATTGAACCTGAAGTTTATATAGAGAAGAAAAAGACCTAGAATAGCCAACACAATACTGAAAAACAAGTTAGAGACTGATGCTACATAATTTCAAAACTTACTGTAAAGCTACAGTAGTCAAGTCACTGTATTATTGGCAAAAGAATAGACAAATAGATCAATGGAACAGAATAGAGAGCCTAGAAATAGACTCATATAAATAAAGTCAAAGGACTTGTTCCTTTGACAAAGGAGTAAAGGCAATATTTTCTTTTTCAACAAACAGTGCTGGAACAACAGGACATCCACATACAAAAAATGCATCTGGTTACAAATCTAATACCTTTCATAAAAATTAATTCAAAATTAATCAAAGACCTGAGTGTAGAACAAAAAACCATAAAACTCCTGGAAGGTAACATAGGAAAAAATCTAGAAGTCCTTGGGTTTGGTGATGACTTTTTACATACAATACCTAAGGCATTAATCAATGAAAATAATAATTGGTAAGCTGGACTTCATTAAAATCTAAAACTTCTGCTCTGCAAAAGATAATGTCAAGAAAATTAGGACAAAAACCACAGACTGAGAGAAAATAATTTTGAAATATATATCTGATAAAAGATTGTTATCCAAAATATACAGAGGACCCTTAAACGTCAACCATAAGAAAACAAAGAGCCTGATTAAAAAATAGGCCAAGCACCTTAACAGACACCTCATCAAAGAAGATATACAGATGGTAAATAAGAACATGAAAGGATGCTCACATCATACATCATCAGGGAAATGCAAATTAAAACAACAATGAGATATCATTACACACCTATTAGAACGGCCAAAATCTGGAACATTGACAACACCAAATGTTGGCAAGGATGTGAAGCAACCAGACCTCTCAAACACTGGTGGGAATGCAAAATGGTACAGCCACTTTGGAAGGCAGTTTGGCAGTTTCTTATAGAACTAAACATACTGTTACCATATGATCCAGCAATAGTACTCCTTAGTGCTTACCCCAGAGAAGTTGAGAACTTATGTCCACACAAAACCTTCACACAGACGTTTATAGCAGTCTTATTCATAACTGACAAAACTTGGAATCAACCAAGATGTCCTCCAGGGGGGTAATGCATAAACAGTGGTACATCCAGACAATGGAATAGCTTTCAGCACTAAAAGCAAATGAGCTATCTAGCCATGAGAAGAAATGGAAGAATATACTAAGTGAAAGAGGCCAATCTGAAAAGGCTACATCTGTATGATTCCAATTATATGACATTCTGGAAAAGACGAAACTATGGACACAGTAAGAAGCTCTGATTGTCAGGTGTTAGGAGGGAAGGAGGGATGACTAAGTTGATCACATGAGCTTGTGTATGTCATAGTTGGTGCTAAAAATTAGGTTAACTTCTAAAGCAGTTCAACTTTCTATTATGATTTTGAAACAATAAAACTGTAGGACCTGCCAGGTCTGTAATCCCATTGCCACCTGTGCGTGGAGTTCATGACCAGATTCCTGGAATTAACAAAAGCTTTTTTTAGTACAGTTATCCAGGAAGTTACTTAGTTTCCAACTAAGATCACTTGGGCAATTGACTTTACAGAACAAATTGGCCCTATTTAGATATCTTGGCTCCCAAGCTAGAGAAGCAACCTAAATCCCCGTCAATAAAAAAGGCTGTGGAACATCATATACAGAATGAAATATTACGGAGCCATGAAAGGAATGGAATCTTACCATTTGTAACAGCATTGATGGACCTAGACGGTATTATGTTCAGTGAAGTGAGCCACCAGAGAAAGTGAGGTACCATACGATTTCACTTATATATTCAATCTAAAGAACAAAATAAATGACACATAGACACAGAGAAGAGACTGATGGTTTGCCAGAGGGAAGAGGGTTTGGGGAACAGAGTGAAAAGAGTGAAGGGATTAAGATGTACAAATTTGTAGTTACAAAATAGTCGTGGGGAAACAGCATAGGGAATATAGTTAATAATATTGTAATAACTATGTATTACACTATGTAATAACTATGTATTAGTGCCAGGTGGGTACTGGAAATACTGGGGGGAGATCATTCTGTAAAGTATATGTCTACCCACTATGCCGTACACCTGAAATTAATAAAATACTGAATGTCAACTGTAATTGAAAAAAAAAAAAGTCTTAGCTCCTGAAATCCAAAATGAAGCGGGTCTTTTTTTTTAAAGCAAGCTTTATTTGGGGGATCACCAAGGGCTTCCACAAATCCTTCTAGGCTGAACCCCTCTGCACGGGACAGCGAGTTAGGGTGCAGCCCTGTGCTTCAGGTACCATGAGAGACTGCAAGGCGGAGGGGACTACCCTGCTCCTGAGCCGGATGGCACCCCGACACCGTTCACTCGAGCACAGCCCGGGCCCGCCCCGACCCGACCCAGGCCGGCCGGCGGAGCGCGGGCGGAGCTCGGGCGGAGGGCCAGGCCCGACACCGCCGCCGCCGCGGACGCCGCCGCGGACGCAGCCGCGAGCCCGGACCTGCCCGCCGACCTGGCGGCGCAGTCTCGCGGGATCGCTCTGCTCTCGCTCCCCGTGCGGCTCCCGGGGCGGCTGGCGTCCCGGACGTCCCCGGAGCGGGCTCAGGCCGCTGGTGAATGGTAGGCTGGACGGGGACGCGGCAGGAGAGCTGCCTTCGACCGTCGCCTGAGGTGAGGCTCCTCCGGCACCGGCTGGGGGGGCGGCCGCGACCGGGCGAGTCCCGGGGCGACCGGGGCGGGCCTCGGGCGGTGCGGGGCAGAACGGGGACTCGCGCTCGGAGCAGCAGGTGCGGGGAAGACGGCGGCGAGACGGGCGGCACGGGCGAAGTTTCCGCGAAAGTTGGGACCCGCTCCTGAAAGGCGATGACGGGTCCCCGCGGGGCCAGGGACGCCGCCGCCCGGTTACAGGCCTGGGGCAGGTGCCGGGGTGTGGGGCGAGTCACCCCGCCCGGCGCTGGAAGCCTGGGCTCGGGTGTGTGCTCGGCGGTGGGGGTGCGGTCGTTCGTGCCTCAGGGCCCACAGCCTCCCTGTAACAGACTTTAGGTCGCCCTCCAGGGACAGATCTGTTTATTTTCCCTTTCGGTGGGCTCACTGCTCCCTCCAGCTCATGAAAACTAGTTTCACTCCTCCGCAGGTAGGAAGCCTCGGCGTCTCCACGGGAAAGTATTAGGTCTTCAGAACACTGCCACAAAAACTGCCTCTGTAGAGTCTTTAAATAATTTATTTAAGAACTCATTAGGTCTTCAAGAATTTCCCTGGGACCCAGTTTTCTCGTACGTGTAAGGTGTCCAGCAGAATCTCTTAGATTTTTTTTTTAATTCTATTAATGCTTTTTAACTTATTCCTGACGCCCCGCATTCCTTTTTTCCCCCCATCTCACTCATCCAATGGCCGCTTTTCACCCTGTGTTCCGTAAGCGCTAACCTTCCATCAGTGATTCCGTAGGGATGAGATTTCCTCTGCAAATGATACAGCCTGGGCCAAGGCAGGTGGAAGAGTATCTCGATAGGACGGGATTTGCCGTCGTTTTTCCAGTATTAGTTACCTACGGTGAAAGTCTTAGCTCTGCACCTGAACGTCCGCGTTTGTTTATGACAAGTGTTGCTGATACTGTCTCTTGCTTGTTTTTACAGTCCTTGACCCGGAACTCATTTTCAGGAAAAGAGCTTCTTTCGAAATGGTGAAATAATGAAGTGAGAAATTTGAACATTTTATCTTTGGGTGGAAATCTGAGAATGCAAAGAGCGGTTAATCGAAGCCATGCGGTAAAAGCAGGAATTTGAAGAAAATGGAAAAGTTTACATTTTTGTGGATATGTGTTTTTCTACCCCTCATAAGAGGGCACAGTCTTTTCACCTGTGAACCAATTATTGTTCCCAGATGTATGAAAATGACCTACAACATGACATTTTTCCCTAATCTGATGGGTCATTATGACCAGAATACCGCTGCTGTAGAAATGGAGGTGAGTAGTTCTTTATACCTTTATCGAAAAATATTTTATGCTCAGTTTTGGAATAAACTTATAAATGTGCCATTTTTAAGACAGAAAGGGATTCTTTCAGTTGTGTGCAAGTCCTATTTGGAATATATCTTTTTGAAAATTAAATCCTGCTAAGAGTCTATGTTTTGTGTACGTTTGTGGCTCTGTTTAGCGGATTTGCTTAATAGAGTTGGTTTTTTATATAGTTATGAATGATTTTGAAGAATCTTGCAGCTGGCAAACATTTTGCTTTCTGAATCAATTATGGTAGTTCCTCTAATACTGTGAATTCTGAATTTTTCCTAATTCATTGAACATAACAATCTGTATTGTCCGGACTACATACCGTATTTTGCCGTGTATAATGCACTCTTTTTTTGCCCAGATTTTTGAGGGAAAAATAAGGGCACGTATTGTACATGGGCAGTACCTGAAATACCTGTATCTGTTTTTCTGTTTTGTAATTATTTGTTATAGAAAATATATATTTTTTTAAAGATTTTATTTATTTATTTTTAGACAAAGAGGAAGGGAGGGAGAAAGAGAAGGAGAAAAACATCAGTGTGTGGTTGCCTCTTGTATGCCCAGCACTTGGGGATATGGCCAGCAACCCAGGCGTGCGCCCTGACTGAGAATCAAACCGGGGACTGTTTGGTTGGTAGGCTAGCGCTCAAAACACTGAGACATACGAGCCAGGGCTGTTACATAACATTTCTTGTACCATAATATGTTAAAAAATAAATGCTAAAATTCCTTTATAACACAAAAAACAAGTATCTAAATACAAATAAATAAATAATTGAATTAAAATGAAAGATTTTTTTTCCCTGAAAGTTTGGGCCAAAAACACGGGTGTGCATTATACATGGCAAAATCCGGTATACTTTCATAAGTAGTTGTAATGTTCACTTGGCACCGTTTTGTGAAGCAAATCAATTACTGGAAGATTTTGGTGCTGTAGATAGTGTTTTGCTAAAAAGTGACCTTTTTGACGCACTTAAATGATCTTTGTAAGATACTTTTTAAAAGAAACCACGTGCAGGGCCGGGGCCCAGAGTGACACCGAAGATTGCCTTAGGTGCCTCAGTTCCCGGCCTCTGGCTTAGAGATACGCAGATTGCTAGGGCGGTATGGGAAGAAAGAGTTACCTATAGAGACTCTTGTACAGATCTGTTAGATTGATAAGTCTCATGAAGGAAAGAAGACAAATGTTCTTGTAGTTTTACTACAGAAAAACTGCCCAAGATGGTATAGGCTCTCCCGCCTCACATTGTTGCTAAGAGATGAAATCCCTATAATTTTAATATACACACTACTTAAAAAACTAACTAGACTTGATTTTGCAGCTTCAGAAGTCTTCCATTGTTGTTTAGTTGAATAGTTGTTGGACTACCTCATTGTAGACTCCTGTCTAAAATAGGAGGGCTTTTAAGGACTAAGGTAATGTCCTTTAAAAGGACATTACAAATTTTATTATTGTAATCTTTAAGTGGTCTTTCAAACCAGTGCAAGATGTGATTTTGAACACTAAACAAATGATGCAGTGAGACTTTTATTGATTTTAATCAGAACTATTTTGATGGTTTAATCTGATTAAAATAAAATATTTAGTGGGGATACCGTCAAGGAATAATTGTATCATTCATTCATAGTTACTCTAATGATAGTATATGTTTTATAAGTCATGTTTTGTAGAGTTTCTAAAATTTTTAAAAATCTGGTTCCCTTTCTATGTAGTAGCTACATACATGTTTAAGTTTAAGAGATGGTATTTTTTACATTTCTATCCCTAATGCCCAGTACAGTGCCTCTGAGCATGGTAGATGCTCAGTAAAGGCTGAATATATTTGGTGTTTCCAGCCCTAATGAATCAGCAAAGAAAATTTTTCCCCAAATCTTTATCTTCCACCTTTATCTTATGCAGTGTCTAATATATTTAGGTGGTTTCCATATCATGTACTTTCTGCCTGAGCCTAGTTCTAATAAAATGTATCAATTGACATCCCCTATGTCTTTTTTCATATTAGCTTACCACATGTGTGTTAGAATTTATTTACATAATTTCATTTTTAACCATTTGCATTTATTTTTATGAAATGAAGGAATTCATCTTTTGATTGGACCATTGCATTATAAACTCAATGTATCAGACTTTTCTCAAACATTGTATTTTAGGACTTAAGCTTATAGTCCAGACAGCTACTAAATTATTAACTGCATATACCTTGACTTTTACTTTTTTTAAGAAGTTTTTTATAGCTTCTCTAAAGAATAGATTGGGTTTTACATCTCCAACCTGTCTTTGGTTTCTACTGGTCCCTGTTGAATTTTCAGTGTTCATTATGAATAAATGTTAGGATGAGGGGCTGAAAGAAATATCTGATGTTGTTCTTTCTTAGCTTCTAGGAATTTCATGTAATTCAAGAGATCTATCTCTCCTCTTTCATGCTTCTGTTGTCATTTAGTATGATGGCTATCCTAGGTTATAGACCTTATAGCCTCTATGGTCATTGCAGATCTAGGATTATGTGAAATGGTTTAGAACAGTGGTTTTCAAAGTTGAGTTCATCAGACCAGCAGCTTGGGAACTTGTTAGAAATGCAAGCTCATGGACCTCATCCCAACCTAGTAAATCATGATCTATGAAGATAGAGCCCAAGGAACTGTATTTTAACAAGGTAGCCAAGTGTTTCTTATGAATATAAATTTTTGAGACCTACTGGTTTAGAGCAGGAAATGCAAACTTTTTCCATAAAGACCCAAATAATAAATATTTTGGCTTTGCAAACCATACAGTCTCTGTCACAGCTATTCAGCTGTGTGATTGCACAAAAAGCAGCCATAGACAATACATAGACAAATAAGTGTAGATATGTTTCAACGAAACTCTACAAAAATAGGCAGCAGGCCATTTTGGGGGGTTTGTTTTCTGTTTTTTTTTTTGGCCCATGGGCTATAGGTTGCTGAACCCTGGTTTAAAGTATTTGAAAGTGTTCTTAGGTATTTTATATATATAACATTTATAAATAAACACTGTGCATTCTTATTAATGTTACCCGAGTTATGTTTTACTTTACACAAAAAATTTAAGTGAAATTTATCACAAATCAAAAGACTCTAGGGATATCCTGGTTTTTTAGTTTTATTTAAGAGATTGCCTGAAGTCAAGGACTTTGGTTTTTTTCCATATTTTATTAACTGAAGCTAAATTAATTTGTATTACAAAGAGTTAATTTACAATTCTGAGCAGCAACTTGGCTTCTTAAAAAGGATGTTGTACGGTCTAATTTTCCCAGGTGGAAAAACAAATGGCTGCTGGTTTTCCATTGTGCTCCTTTTTGTTTCATATCTAGAGCATTGTTTCTCAAATTGTTAGGTCGCTGTCCCTTGAGAGACTGATTTCATACAAAAAGAGCTGAGGCCGATCTAGGGAAAATGGAAAGAGGAATATTTGTTTTTCTTTTTGAATTGCCTTCATTGAGGTCTAGGCAAAAGCAAAGTCATGTATTATGTTTGGAACAGCATGTGGTCATTCCACTTTTGAAAAGTCTAAAGGGAAATGAGCCAAAGGGCAAGAAAAACCCAACCCCTTTCCTTTCCACCTGTTAATGTGCACTATTAAAATGTCTCTATTCAATTCAAAGTAAAGGGATGGAGAAAACCTGTATAAACAAACATAAGAAAAGTCTATTTCTATTCGGCAGTGGTTTTTAAATATTTTCATTTTTCTGCTTGTAGAAGAGTCTAGTGGACCCCTTCCTTTCTTCCTTCTCTACTCTTATACCCCCATACACAGGCAAGAAAATCTTTAGTGTGACTGACCTCTTTATTTTCAGGGAAGGCTTTCTGAAAATAACTATTCTGAAAGTAAGCTATTGAGTCATTTAAAATGAAATAGATATTGAGCCCTGTCTGGTATGGTTCAATGGGCTGTGCATCGTTCTGCAAACTGAAAGGTCGCTGGTTCGATTCCCAGTCAGGGCACGTGCCTGGGCTGCAAGCCAGGTCCCCAGCTGGGGGTGTGCGAGAGCCAACCAATCGATGTCTCTCACTCAACATCGGTGTTTCTGTCCCTCTCCTTCTCCCTCCCTTCCCCTCTCTCTTAAAATAAATAAATAAAGTCTTTAAAAAATAGACATTCAAAGGTGTTCCAAGTCATTGTATGTGTAGTGGCGATTGTTGTGTTCTAAATGTAGAAACTGCGAGCATACTTTCTTTTGTGGTATTGTGTCAGCAGTAGTTGGGAAAGTACACTGACTACTTCTCAGTCTGCAGAATCAGGGTCAGCCCTGAATGTGAACAGAGGACAATATTTCTTCTGGGAGCCTCTGCATTTAGACACCAGGTTCCTACAGAGACATTCATTCCCTGATATTCTGGGTGTAGGCTATTATTAATTATACACTCAGGAGAAACCTGGCCATAAAGTGTCATGGTTCCTTCAGACTACGGGGTGATTGTTTTGTTGTCATAATTTCCTTTTCTTGAGGAAGTAGCATGTAGATAATGAAGCCTTATTACTCTAGTTTGTCTATTTTTCATGTATTCATTCATTAATGTTTATTGACTGTGTAGCTGAATGTGTAGCTTCCCCAGAATTACAGTTTTTCAAGGTATAAGTTTTAAATTTAAAAAATTGACACTTCATTGGACAGATTTTTTTAATAGTGCCAACCAGTTACTGTGTATATATCTCTAATATCCAAAGAAAAGCTCTTTTGGATAATTTAAAATTTGTAATGCTCTCTGCTAAGAAATGTTTCTAAAATAGAAAAAATATGGAAATATTGTAAATTTTTGCTTTTTATTTTTCTCTTGTATTCCAGGCTCCACTTTGCATTTGTTAAGGGAGATGACTTGCCTGAGATTGGTCACATTTATGAAAATAAGTGGCAAAGCTTTACCACTTTATTATACAGTAGTCCATTAATATTCTCAAAGGATTTGCTCAAGACCCTTGTAACCACTTTGACAGTATTTGT